GTTAATAAACGTCATGCTTAGTAACTAGACTCTTCAATGTGAAAATCATCCATACAGAACGCAATGATAATAATTTGAGAAGTGGAAACAATCTACTCCCTCCCTCCCTCCCTCCCTTCCAATGCCTCAATTTGTGATTATGAACAATCCATGGCTCTATTTCTGACACAGCATCATAAATTTGGCATCATTGGTCATACGGTTGGAATCATAGACTGGGCATGTGATTTAACCTCAAACTGAACAGATTGTTCCGGTCTTATAGAAGAAGATATACCTCTTTAGAAAAATTGGTCTCCTAGGATATTAATCCAATTTTCTAGCTGTTTTTATGCAAGAAAGGGGAAAATTGTGAATTCATCGACATAAGTTATATAAAAATCGTCAAAATTAGATGACTGAGAATTTGGATTGCAGAATTTCCAGTGACTTGAGGTTGCATCACAAGTTGAGACAGTGGCACAATGTGTGCATCCACAGTAGAGGTGAGACGACAATTTTAGGCAGAGCAATGTCCGATCATCAATTGTTCTCTTTCCTCTGAAGGCAGATGCAATGAAGCAACAGATTTTGGCAAAGATTTATCACTAACTTTGTATAGCATGAAAAGCATCTCATATACTAATACAATCACATAATGGCTGAAAGATGACTTTGCACATTTAATTGGTGCCTTGATAAGCAGTTTTATTGGGTAAGGCAATTTCTGAATTTCTTAAATCAGTAAAACAATCCCTGTTCCCTCTCTTCTATTTTCAATAAGAGATGCTTATACCCGCTAAAACACAATAAATCCTAATATTACCAACAGAAACAAACTATAGCCATAGTACGATAAAAATGCACTTAATTTTATCTAGAATAAAAGGGAAAAATAAAGAGCGCAGTATAAACGCGAACCGAAACGGGTGCTCAGATGTGTAAAAGTCAGGCTTATTCGCTTTAGCTATCACAACATCAAAAAGTTCCCTCCATGAATCTCCACAGTCCATGTATTCCTGAAAAGAATTTCAAGACAGGGTTCACGAAATGATAACACCTCCACATAACTCATAAAGGAGAGGTAAAAAGAACAAGAACAGTTTGTCGTCTTTTAATGCATAAGACATCAACATCAGCAGCGCTGCTGTGGTGGAAACGAATGCCACAAAGAAGTTATCAACCTTCTCATTTTCACTGTGACAAGAAACATGGTGGCATAGTTTTCAAGGATGAATCTAACCTCCACCATAAACTGCATCCCTCCATCCACAAAATAGAAAGGAGAATTAGTCAACAAAAAGAGTTTCTTCCCCTTCTCCTTCAGCATCTTCAGGAAGTGTAGCACCTCTCCCTGTTATGTTGAGAATTACTAACAGATGAACTCCACATATCCGATAAGCAATAAAATTTAGAACAATATCCAGTAAAAAAGTATACGAATACAGGAAGTACTAACTTACGTTTTTTACTAAGTATCTATGAGGGTCTGAAAGAATCCCTCTGTGAACTAATCCACTTCGATGAACATGCTGAATTGCCCGATTTACATCTTCATAAATGTAACAGGCATCAAATTCCAGCTTCGCATCAACGAAAAATTGCACCATATCTGCAATGAGGCATGCCTAGAAGTAACAAAGAGCAAAAGTTAAGGTTAGAAGCTGATGAGATGAGGTTTAGTACTACAGATAAGGTATTATAAATCCTGTTTGACACAAAGGATACCCAATTTAGAAGTTGCAGCAACTTAGACAATTACATGGTGGCATAAACTAAAAATACTTAAAGTCAGAGTGACCCAAAGAAGATATAGAAGTAATGTTGAATAGAGTACCGCATATCTAAACCAATCAGAGAAGCAGGTGTTGTATAAAGTAAGGCAACATCCATCAAGTTGAAGCCACAATCAATAGGTCTATAGGACGTTGTTCAAGCACAGACAGCAGTAGGACACGTGCCATGATGTAGGATACTGCTTTGTTTACAAATACCACCAGAACTCTTACTGTGCCACTTGCTTTGTACAAGTACATTCTCAAAATAGCAAACAGTTGCTAAAACTAACCTCACTAAAGCAGAAGAAGTCCATTAAGCCAACAAGCCCGCGTGCCTGATCACGGCCAATATGCCGTGTTCCATACACGAGATTGATTTCCTTCCTGGAAAGCTGCATTTTATGTGCATAAAGCTATCAGCTGGAACAACTGTATTTCATATCAAGGGGTGGGCCCCTCGATTAGCAAAAGAAAAAAAATCTTACAACAATTCCAATCACGTAATAGCAATCTAAGGATACCTTCAATCTAACCGAAAAGACCACAAAGTATTCGAGTTGACAAATAAGATGACCAAGCACATAAAGACACGGTTTCATCAAGCTTGTACTTATTCTTTAGCAATTCTGTGCAATCAATACCAAAATACATGCATCAAAAGGAATAAAGGAGATGCTTAAGCTCTTCTATGTACAATCGTGTTGAAAATTTCAGAATTTACTTGATTATCCTGCTTTATATGTCAAAAAGTTACTGCAGTGATATATCCTTTAAGTGGAATTTTGGGTCTCCAGGCAAAATCATGATGAAGGATTACAAAAGACCATATGAAATATCTACAGATTCATCCATTAGAGAGAAATACGTTTACAACAACCAAATACAAAAAAACGAAAAAATTACCTTCCGTCGACCAAAGTAGCATCCATCCGGCTCAATTGAGCCAAAGAAATCCAACTTCAAGAGACATCCTTTTTGCTTGTCATAGTATAATCCTCTGATTGGGAAGCTTGGATCATACTTAAAATTTATACAAATTTCGGGGTACCTAAACTGAAAGATAAGGCAAGGAATTTTGATTAACAATCACATCATAAAACAGCCATGCTACAGGCCGTAAAAGTGGCATGCAGTGATTTTAGCCATTATACGGACCTCATTAACCATGTGCTGCTTTGCAAGATCATATATCAAACTCTGCAAATTAGCAGAGTAATGTGCCAGGGTGTAGTCATAGTCAAATCCGTACACTTGTATATTATCCAGTCTCATATTCTTGTTCACATATATTCCTAATGTGATACACAACAACAGTCAGCATCTAATCAGCATTTTATAGGCTCGTAAAGCCCAAATGTAAACAAATGATATATTTGAATAGGAGCAATGAAGTTTAAACAAAAGATAATGATCGCAACCTTTAGGGTTCATCTTTGGCATTTCTTTGAGTGCTTCAGGTATCTTGAGAAAACTCTTCTTGGCAGCATCGAATTCACGCCGAATCTTCGCTATCTCATCATTGAGCCCCGGGCCGTCATGCTCGGACCGCCAATCCTCCTCCAATTTCAAGACCTTCTGCTCCGGCGAACAAATCGAGCTAAGGCCTCGGAAGCCTCCTCCAAGCTCTGCAAATCAAGAAAATCAAGAATGAACCTTTTTCCCTTCGGAAAACTCGGGCTAGACAGAAACAACTCCGCCTTCACAACTACGGTTTTTTAACACCACAGGGCAGCAGGAAAACCGAGAAACCTTTACCTGCTCTGGCCTCACCGCGAAGAACGTTCAACCCCTGCAATGACGAAACACGTGTTTGTGAAAATGCCAACGACAAACCCACATTGCAAGTCGCAACCTTTTACACCGTAGACACAAGCGCAGCACGTGAAGGACGCGAATCCGAGGCAACGGGGACATGGGTCGGAAGAGATAGCCGCTCTCGCAACCCTCACACACGCGAAGAGAACGCAACAGAGCAACGAAAAGCACGGACCTTGAGGGAAGAGCAGGACGGAAGAAGCCTCCGCAAGGAGGCCATGCCAAGGAAAGGTGAAGGCGATTCGACTTCGAGAATCAGCGCGCGCGCGCGCGCGAAGAAGAAGGAAAAGAACGGAACAAGAAAATGGAAGTGAGAGCTTCGCTAAAGGTCTCTCCTTTTTCTCCTACGGTTGGGTCTTATGGTCTCCCACACCAATCAAAAGAGCGAGGACGGTTGGGTGAACACCGTCCGTATAACAACCGAATTGCCGAGACCGAGGGAGAGATGTCGAAAAGGAATCGTGTTAAGATACTCTCTCCCTATATATATGTATTGGGATTCTGTCAAGATTCTTTAGTGTATTTATTTTATAATTTTTTTTACTACAAGTTCGGTATTTTCGTTTTTTTGAAATTTTTTTTCAAATAAGGACGTGATATAGGACCGTTTTCTCGGGAAACGACTGGGAATGTATCTTTTTTCAAATAAGGGTTTGGAGTTGCCAACTTAATCTCGGGCCCGAATCCATCCGCCGTCCAAATTCCCGTCTCTTGAATTGTACGTGCGATCGCTTGCTTATTCCGGCAGCGAGCCAATTCTCGTCCGAAGTGTTTTGATTTTACTCAGATTGGACAGGCTGGATGCAATCAACAGATTCAATATACTCATAAAAAGAACCAATTTCCCCTTTTGCCATTGTTTTATTCCTCATAACTATGTATCAACGTTATTTGAGGCCCGTCACGTTGCAAAGTTCTATTTTGAACTAGCTTTCAAACCCTCGCCCCTACGCGTGCTGCTTAGATGTTTCTAAAGAGTGCATCAATTAGGCTCACACATGTCATACCCCACGCTTATACAAATGTTTTATCTACATTGTTCATGCAAAGACCCCATGTTGTAGACCAAGATCTTGTATATTGATATCCTTTGAGCAACATACGTAGTTGTTGATTAATCTACTTCATACTGAATTGAATTTAGTTGCTGTTTCAATGCCGGCCTCGTGAAGAATTTTCACGAGGAAAGCATTGGAGGGGCTCGGCCGTCACTTGTTGTCCAATGTCCACTTTTGCTTGCGCATGCTCGCTTTCATCAAGAACCCTTTTTCCATCATTGAATAGATGGCTCAAATGGTTACGAGGTTGCCATTTGAAAGTCAGACATTTACCTTTGTTTCAGCAAAATCAAACATTTACCTTGTAGAGAGAGAGAGAGAGAGAGAGAGAGAGAGAGAGAGAGAGAGAGGATTTTTATGCAGGACAATCTTTGTCAGGTCACATGATGTCGTATGCTATACATTTTTCCGACTCCACGCAGTCGAAAAAAGACTACATAGATATCGTGGTTGTTCGTCTTTTTTCACGAGAAGTAGTCTAATAAAAGGACACCTTCAGACCCAGAGTCCAATCTGGATAGCAGAAACTAACGAATACATACACATGGTGCATGCTTTGACCATATTACATCTGAAAAACCCCATTTGCTCAGTTGATGACCCCAACAGTATGTTCTAATCTTTCTTCATTGCTTTCATAGTGTTCATTGGTTGCTGTCGGCATGAGAAGCGTGCTTGGCACAAAGCTCGCTGCCAAGCTGACAGATACATGAGTTTTGGCAACCTGTCATGTGCTCCAAAGAGTTCTTGGAAAGAACACATAAATTCCCTGTACTGTGTTACGGCACGGAATTTACCATCAAGAGGTTGAATTCACGTTCCAGGGACCAGGAGGCCTCGTTTTTTTCATTGATACTTAAGTTATACTCCTGGAAATAACCATTGAAGGTTATGATGGATATTATTGCCCTGAAAAGGCACAAGGAGAATCAGTTACATATTGGCATGGAGGTTAAGGAAAGATCAAATTTCTTTGTTATTTTGACAAGCATTCAAAGGCACTGGCCATGAGCCGGTAAAAATATTCATTTACGAGAATACTGACACCCTGTTTGGCTCTATATCTTCCAAGTAGAAAGTTCTGCTGCCTACAAAAATCGTGTGACGGGAACATTGGCAACAAAAATCGCACCTCGTTTCAATTATCGTAGAGATTTTTTTTTTGGTCAAAAGTTATCGTAGAGATTCAGTCACTTAAGAAGCCCAATTATAGATGCCAGAATGGATTGTGTATAAACATCTACTGGACTAATATGCACAGCCACAAACCACAAATTCAAACATATGACTGCAACCGTACACTTGAAAATCCAGATAGTGGCCTCTTAGTCATAATCAAAGGGTTACAGATCTAATAGGTGGCAACCAATGATGAAACTTTAAAAAAAAAGTAGGCATCTCAAGGTTCTACATGCAGCTCATCCTAGGCATTCTCACCAATAAATTTTGAATTGGGTAACTATTAAGGAAGAAGAAATCTTGGTCCATATGCCCTTATACTCCATTTGATCTATTGGACCAAATTACAAGGATCTACACTAAGAAAAGAATTACAAGGATAAAGAAGGAGCGAAACTGATAGATGAGAGATAGATGAGAGATGAAGGAACACTGCACTAAAAGAGAAGCCAGATATCATGAGTTACTCACCTACACGCAGTAAATTCAGATGCAGATGTTTTCGGATCCTTATCTACTTTGCGAATCACTGCATAGCTGGATTAGAAACATTTATTTCATAAGTTGAAGACAAGGAAAAGCATACAGAAGTTCAAGTCATAAGAACTCATTGAGTCTAAATAAGTGGTCTAGAACATAAAGTTGGCTCGACGACATAAATAGCATCAACTTGGCTAGTTACGGGGATTTCGGAATCCAGCCGAATAGCTGACTCAACAGTACTGAGATTTGTAGTTCCCAGTTTCTCCCACCAGATAAATGACTAATCTCGTGTCCAAGCAAACCCCCTCCTCTCTCTCTCTCTCTCTCTATCTCCCTCCAGCTATTTTGATCTTCACTTTGCAATTTACCCACGAATTTTTGAAGAAAAGAAAACCATGAAATAACTAATCTATATCATAATTCTTAGTACTAGCACAAAAAATAGAACAAAATAATCCCATTTAGCCTTGACCAAGTATTAATATACAAAAAACCAAAATCCACCATAAAGCTAACTGGAGACACATATCTTCACTATGATTGAGTGCTAGTCGAACACAACTTCCTTACCATACGAACATCTTGCCCCAACTTGAATAGTGATATTAATAATAACTACATTACCTTTTGACTCCAGCTGGAGTAGCATCATGGAGCACAAGATGATGAGCTGGATCGAGTACATCATTCACAGAATCAGGTAAGACTGCTCCAAGAAAACTATTTGACCTTTTGCTTCTGGAAAGACAACATTCAAGAAAGATAATCAAAACTGCATGGAATTTTGAAGGGGAAAGTAATGCGCTGCCATTAAAATAAGAGCATGACAACATCTTAGGAAACAAATTGTGTTTCGATCAAAAGTAAAAATGACATTGCAGTTAGATTTACTAAATTGATTATCAAGCTCTTTAAAATTAGTGCAACCTCTCTTGAAGTAAAGTATGAAATACGAGAGAGAAACTTCCTATAACTAACCAAACATCAAATGGATGTGTTAGAATCTGAAATAAATTTCTTGCATCCAAGCAAGGCCCAACTTCAATTTGAAATATGAAAAGTCAATATTCACCTTTGGTTTACAGCAATACCCGGGGAGAAAACATGAACAGATCCTGAGGAACTTGAGGCAGCAAGAATGTCTGGCAGTTGCAATGATGGCCCAAAGGACAAGGAAAATATTGTTGACGCGTAAGTACCCCTTCTGAAACTATATGACTGCAATGAAGCATAGTTAGATGCCATTAAGAGAAGAAAAATGACACCAACGTTGTCACCACAGAAAAGCGATCAAGAACTAAAACTAACATATGAATTAAATGTTAGACAAGCACATGCAAACAGAAAGCGGCTGAGAATGCTGGAAGTAATGTCAGTTCAACAACATGGTCAAGGCATCTACACAGTCAACAAGTTAATCTTTTGACATGGTAAGACTTTGTAGGCCTCCCTACTATTTATGTTTACCCTCCAATGCCACTAAACTGAATACAGCTACAACAGACACAAAAGAACACATATGCCTGGTGCATAAATGCAAAAATAAAAATCTAGTGCTACCAAAAGTATGTGTTCTCCCCCATCTGCATAAGAAGGGATTAAGTGAAGTCTTGGTTGTTCATCGTGGAGCAGAAGCAGGGTGTGCATATGTGCGTGTACCCAACTGCTGACTTGCTCTGATTGAATAATTAAGCATCATTTCAACCACAATACTCTCCGCAAGTCTACAAGATTAAACACGTCCTCCATGAATATGAAACAGGCTCCCTGTATCGGCATTTTGAAATGCATGCATTTTGCAGACATGGGCTGTGCATACTTCTATTGTTGACAGAGAACATGCAGCTATTTACAAACTACCATAGATGCTAAAGACATCCAAAAATTAACAGCAAAACTAGATATATTACCTGCATTTCTTACCTTGCTTGCATCAGAGACCAAATGAACTCTGATTATTGTTCCATGTTCAGATGCTGTGGCTATGTACATCCCGTTGGATGAGAGGACAGTCGCAGCCAATGGTGAACGATGGGCATCTATCTGCAATCCGATGGAATATTCATGAATATGATTTCTCGTTATAGGAAGAGGGATGAAACTAATCAAGTCTGATAACAATTATAGAAGAACAAAAACAATTTTATCTCCTCGTCTATTATTGTTTGGCACAAATGAAACGCATTCAACTTCTGAGGCAGCAAAGAGAAGCCAGAGTCTCCAACTCTTCCTCCTAATATTCTAATAAACAACATTTTTTGCACCATGATTCAATTCTTATTCAATCATTTATCTATTTCCTTTTCTGCTCCTAAATCAGTAGATAGCCCCTATCCATTTTTCCTAAATCCACCTGAGTTTTGGAATCATGCTCAGACCTATCTCTATAGCAAAGAAGAGGATGGCCAACATAGAATCAGTCATCATGATTAGAGTTTGACAAAGCTCACACAAACAACCAGAAACTGAACAAGTGACTTAATTGATCATCATTAAAGTATCTACTAATCCACTGGTTGAATGGATTCAAGAATATCATTGTGCAAAAAGTGGATGGCTGCCTTCATTATCGAGCAAAAATCTTGCAAGGACAAATATCTAATAGACCGACAGGAAAGAAAATCAGATGCAGTTGAAATGTGATGTTTTGAGTTCCTTTCGTATGAGAAAGTAACCTCACAATGTGAATGAAGCTCCATGACATTATACACCAAAACAGTTCCTCTAGTTGTACTTGCAGGAAGAGCCAGGAAGCAACCATCCAAACTGGGAGAGAATGCACAGATTCCTGATTAGAGAAGAACTTAAGGGGCTAAGTACATGAGGCAAAGTTACTATCATCATTAAAGAGTACAATACAATTTGTGGATTGTGCAGCAGCTGAAAAAAGATCTTCAACAATTAATAGCATATTAGCGTGATGTTATTATGATAAAACCCTAGACTGACAACAGGCTACTACCATAAGGTGCCTTTTTCTCATGAATAGGTAAGTTTTCACATCTTTGTGGCAACTTTTACTTGCCTAGCTCTGCATAATATCTATGGCACCAAAAGATAGGTCACTACATAGATAAACAGCCAAACCTTCCAACTAAGACATAAGAAACATGGCCAAGTCTACCTGTGAATAAAGTAGTCACATAACATAGAGAGCCAATAATGCAGCTCAAATAACAATTTTGCAGTATAATGCACTCTTGCTGCTTTTGCACATGAGTTTATAGCCTAAATCTTTCAGGTCTCAACAGAAGAATGATATCGTCTTAAAGTAATGCAAATCTAACTCCTGTGTGCGACAATTATAAAAGCCAAATGATACTTCACTCAAATCAGTAAGCATTGCAAGATCAGATGATTTTTCCAAAACTCACCCTTTGGATTTGGCACGGTATCGATTGTGTCCAGTATTCCAACAGTATTCACATCATATATGTATGTTTTGTCTTGTAGGACAACCACAAGTCTGCAACGACATTCTAGTAATTTTAGTATACGGGAATTAGTGATTGCCAAGAAGCATCAATAGCCAATCCCAGCATGAACATATAGTAGAGTAGGTACCTTGTCCTATTTAAGCGAACAGCAACAACTGAAGTTAGAAAATTTAACTCCCGAAGGGCAGTTCCGGTTGTGGTATTAAACAAAACCAGGCGACGTGGTGACAAAGATGGCTGCAGAAATGACATCAATGATGAGTGAATGATCACACAGAACTTCAGATGACTTATTGAAAAAAGAACAAAAGGCACGTCAACTGAACAGCACCTGCTCTCCGGCTCCAACGATGGCAAGAAGACTAGTGCTAAAGAGCATTTCAACAATGATGAAAGCTCCAACAGCTACAAACATAAAAGAAGAAAATAAATCTTAGGACATAACTGAAATAAACGACACAGCAACAGAAGCTAGGTAGCTTGGAGTCCCCAAAAGCATTTGAAGTCTTTCCACTCCAGACAATCTGAAAATTGGCAATAGATGACTCTACTCATTCAAAATGCCTATGACACCTTCATCAACTTAAGCAGAACCGTAGGTGAGAAGTATATGGGCTACAGAATGAGGAAGGATTTCTTTTCTTGCCTACTCATTTCGCAGCTCGTATACTTCTCACCCACAATTCAGCTTAACTTTGTGAAGGTATCACAGGCTTCTTTTCGTTTTGGTTGGCCATTGTCATCCAATAAATCATTTCACGAAAGAATTCCTAAATGACTACTTACACAAAATATGACACCACAAGTTCCACACAACTTAGAAAGGTTGATGGTACTAAAAGAGAAACAAAAGATTCCACAATTTCCTTTATAGAGCCCATCATGAATTAGTGCTAACAAAACTTAATCTACTCATGAACAGATAACGAGTCGGAGAAGCTGCAACAGCTGACCTCGTTCATACAAGAGCTTCCCCGTGTTGGAATCGAATATCCGGATGCCATCCCTCGTGCCGATGACGAAGCAACTGCAAAATTAACGCCCCACCCACAAGGACACACAAGCTTCAGCAATCGAAAAAACCATGCCCCTCATTCGGAAATGGGAAAAAGCTTCAAACTTTAGGGAGTTCAGAGCATGGAAACCAAAATTCAAGCAACCCCACAATCTCGAGGATGCATCGCTTGCCGGGTTCGAAAGTCACCTGTTGTCCTGATTGAAGGAAGCGCAGAGAATTGGGTAGGACGAGGACGGACCGGCCATTTCAGGAGACTTCTACGGCGATGAATTCTGCGTAGAAAGAAGCATCAACCGGAAGCGTATGGATCGTCGCAGAGACGAGGAGGAGGAGGAGGAGGAGGGGAAGGAAGAGAAAGATGGGCAAGAGTAAAAAAATCGGTAAATGCCACAGGAGGGTCCCACCGGTTGGTGCAAAAGGGACATCGACGCTGAGAATTTACGTCGCGCGAAACGATGACGATGATGAAACCGGGGACGATTCCTCGATCTCGATTGAAACGAGAGAACCATGGCCAAATTGGTCTCAACTCTCTGTCCTGTTGGGCTGGGCACGACAGCAGCCGGAGGACATGAACTCCTTCCATTTCCTGAGTTGGGCCGAGGATGCCGGGTGTAAGCAGTTCAGGATCCAAGAGACAAAACGTTCTCGACCCGATTGCGCCGTAAGGGTGAGCACCGAGTCCGGTTCAATTGGGAACCGCCCGGACCGGCCCGGTTAATTCGGTTTCGGATGTGACTTCGTAACCTTAACTACTTAACAACAACTAGTTTTTTTTTTCAATTTTAGAATTGCAATCTTGAGATTTTATATTATATAAAAAAATCATGAGTTTTTGTCAAGAGCCCAAAACCGGTGGGTTCGAGATTTCCGTTTCCAAGTTTTCGAGATTACGGGTCAGAAATCGACCCATCCCAGAAGTAATCATCCCTACACACCATTGGACACCATCTAGAGTTATATTGGAGTAAAGAAGTACTCATTGAACCACCTTGGATCAACAAACATGAGAGAGAGAGAGAGAGAGGGGGGAACTTAGGCCAAGACTGTCAAATAGCAAAGAGATGGAGAAAGAAAGATATTTGAGGGTTGTGCATCTTTGTCAAGTGAAGTTTACATATGGATAACTTTAGGACATATGATGCGTACGAGAGGTTTGCAGGTAAAACTCTGGACGGGTTTGAATTGGTTTTTTTCTTGGGTGCACCATGAATACTTTAGCCGAACCAATTTTTGATGAGTTTGAGAGGGGATGATTGGAACCGGGTGCGGATCTAGAACAATGTTCGCCTACCATGCTCTTCATGCCATAATCTCTAATTCGGAAATCAAAGAGCCATAACGAAAGATCAAGTAGGATCAAATACAAAAAACTTTCTTCCAGTTTCTTCATGAGAAGGCTATTGCTCTTTTGCGAAATATCATGTGAATCTATGCTAAATAGAAATGGATTTTTGCAATCGTTAGTAGGGGTGAGCATGGTCCGGGCGGGCGGTTCTCATCCTGGAACCAGAAACCGCCCATTAAGGACCGGTTTCGAAAAATTGGAATCGGGAACCGTCCGTTGGTTCCATAGATCCCATTCGAGAACCGGACTGCTGGTACGGTTCGGTTCCCAGGTGGGTCCGGTCCGTTTTCTAGGCATTATGTCCCTCTGTCTCTTCCCCTGCAATTCAAGGTTTCCAGTCTGTTTCCCCTCCTTACGGCAGTTGTCTTCCCTTTACATTTCCAGCAAATGCAGCTAGGTTTTGACCCTTGTTTTGTCACCTCAAATGACCTCTCGAATGGTTAAAATACTAGCTGCCATTTCCCACTTTTTTGGCTCAAGATTGTTGCCAATCCCTATCCATTTCCCTGTTTGTGTAGCTCCTGCAATAGTCCAGTTTTTTTGATTAAGTTCTTTGCCATTTGCAGCTCTCACGGCAGCAAACTCTCTTGATTCGGTCAGCTATAGATGTTGAGGTCTCTATGCAAAATTTCCAGGTGAGGACTCTCCTTGTTGGAGCTATATTTCGTGCAACTTCCAGATGGAACCATCCTGGAGGGGCGCTAGCCAAATTAGGGATTTAGGATTTTCATGTTTTAAAAAAAATTAAAATATATATGTTTTACTGGTCCAGTCCGGTCCGGGTTGGCAGTTCCACACCTAAAACCGGGAACCAAACCGGTTCCCTTAGGAGCCACCGGTTCTAAGCTGGTCCGGTCCGATTCTGGGTAGTTGCTGATTCCTTTGCACACCCCTAATCGTTAGATAAAGTCTTGTACTAGTCCACCTTATGTGAGTCCAATCCACACAAATTTTTGGATCTAGCTACTTAGACTCTAATTGATGTTATAGTCAATTTAAGCTATGAACAACAATAGCCGGTTCTCATAGTAGTTGCATATCCTAGTGACCACTTGCTCATTTAATCTCCATCTTTGTTCGAGAAAGAAAACAATGCTCAGGTGACGCATCTATATTCGTTTTGCATCACTTTACAAAGCAAAAGCACAAGAAAGCAGGACATGTCAATATCATGGGGGCCTTTCTCGATCCTATAATTGTTTTTGGCCATATCTTGTGCCTACATTTACAACAGGCGAGCACGGGGGGATGATCTTACCTGCCTGAGCTGCCTTGATACGAAAGACGAACTTCGATATGATTCCAATGTTTACGTGGGATCGACTTTGTCCTAAAATGGACTAGGGGACAAAGATCTTCGAACAAAATAAAAGAGAGACAAAGATCAAGTTTCCTCCAGCACAGATTCTTTCTTATCTTAAACAACATGCGCAGAAAATCGTGCCGAGAGAGCTCACTTGGTCCAATTATTTGTGTATTGAGCAGGACGATTCTATGCATCTATGCCGTACAAGTATACTTTTGAAAGAATCGGTAGATATCAAAAAAGGTCATTGAAAATAAAATCATTGATTACCCGACTTCTTGATAAGTTGTTGCTAAGTTACTAACACGTTCACGAAATTATTAGTTTTTCTTAGGGAGAAAAACAACAGAAGTGCCAAAACTTGTGTATGGCGCTTACTTTAGTGCCAAAAGTTTCTTTTGGATCACTTTAGTGCCAAAATTTTTGAAAAACGATCACTTAAGTGCCAACTCCGATCAATTTGGCCGGAAATCCGACGTGACATTTTTTTACTAATTTTTTAAGCCAATATGGCTTGCCGGAGATTGAGTCAGCATGTTCACATCAAAACGACGTAGTTTAGCATGTACACGTGGATCTTTTAAATGTTTTTTATGATTTTTTTTTCCTTCTTTTTTTTTCTTTTTCTTTCTTCTTCTTCTTCTACCTTGGGTCAACGCCGGTGACCCAAGGCCGGCCACCGGCCATGGCCGACCGCCCGGCCTCAACGACGGCGAGGCCGGCCTCGCCGTGGCCGGGCGAGGCCGGCCTCGCCATGGCCGGTCGAGGCTCGACCTGCCGGATCCGGGCGAGGTCGAGCCTCGACCGGCCATGGCGAGGCCGACCTCGCCGTCGCCGAGGCCGGCGACGGCGAGGTCGGGCGGCAGGCTCGCCCGCTGCATGACGGCGAGGGTTTCACGATGGCGAGGTCGAGCCTCGCCCGGCCATGGCGAGGCCGGCCTCGCCGTCGAGAAATCGGCCGGGGCGACGGCGGAGGCTCGACCTCGCCCAAATCCGGGCGAGGTCGAGCCCCGAGGCCGACCACGACGAGGCCGGCCTCGCCGTCGCGAATCGACCCGGTGGACGGCAAGGTCGGCCTCGCCATGGCCGGTCGAGGCTCGACCTCGCCGGATCCGGCGAGGTCGAGCCTCGCCCGGCCACCGCGATGGCGAGGTCGGCCTCGCCGTCGTGAAACCCGGCGACGGCGAGGTCGGCCTCGCCATGGCCGGCGAGGGTCGACCTCGCCCGAGATCCGGCGAGGTCGAGCCTCGCCGGCCACGGCGAGGCCGGCCTCGCCGTTGTGAAACCCGGGCTCGACCGCCGACGAGGTCGGCCTCGCCATGGCAGGCGAGGCTCGACCTCGCCTAGATCCGGCGAGGTCGAGCCTCGCCGGCCACGCGAGGCCGGCTCGTCGCGTGACGACGGGGTGCCTCGCATGGCGAGGTCGAGCCTCGCTCGAGCCGCGACGGCGAGGCCGGCCTCGCCGTCGCGAAACCTAGCGACGGCAAGGTCGGCCTCGCCATGGCTCGGCCATGAGGCTCGAGGCTTGCCTCGACTGTGAGGTCGAGGCCGTGGCGCGAGGTGTCCATGGCCTCCGAGGCTCGACCGCCGGGAGGTGACCCAAGGTAGAAGAAGAAGAAGAAGAAAGAAAAAGAAAAAAGAAAAGAAGGAAAAAAAATTCATAAAAAATATGTAAAAAATCAAAATACACACGTGGAAATACCACGTAGACCAATTTTTTTAAAAAAAATTCCAACTCGGATTAAAATTTTAATTGTAAAAGCCGCGTATTAATTTGGCCGGAATTTCTCGCCGTTAGCACTTAAGTGATCGTTTTTCCTCACTTAAGATCGTTTTTCCTCCGATTTGGCATTTAAGTGAGCCGGCGAAAACTTTTGGCACTAAAGTGAGCGCCGTACACAAGTTTTGGCACTTCTAGTGTTCTTCTCCCGTTTTTCTTACAATTTGAGAATTACCAACTTTTTATCAATTTTATTTGCATTTATTACCACCACCTTTCATTCTTTGTCTGAGTAACTACTGACTTTTTTTCTGATTAGATTGCTAGCTAGTCTTAAGTTATCAACTTTCATTTATGTTAGTTACCAATGTTTATATTATTTGCCTTTATTACAAATGTCTTATAGTTATTAGCTCTTCTATGAATGCACCAATCTTTATTTGTGCGACTTACCAACTTTTTTCCTATTAGATTAACTACTAGTTTTAATTTTCAAACTCTCATTTAAATTACTTAGCAATCTGCTTATTTCATTTCTTAAAATATACCAACTTTTCTATTAGTTGTCAACTTTTATTTATCTTGCTTACCAACCCGTTAAATTTACAAACTTTTTTTAGAAATTAGCAACCTTAATTAGAGTGATTGCCAACTTTTCTCCAATTAAGTTATCAGTTGCTTTTGCATTAGCAACTATTTTTGTGTTAATTATCAATGGTAATTTTTTTTTCAAATTTCCAACTTCTTATTAATGACAAAAAAAATTCACTTATCTTCTACAATTTTTTTTTCATTTCTTTTCTTAAAATGGTTAACACTTAAAATTCAGTATTTACATTTTTAGCATCTAAATTTTTTTTTATCAAGAAAAATTGTCTAAAAAAAAACTAAACATATTGTGCTGCGGTCAATTCATACCTAAATCTTTCAGTTGTGCCAAGTTAGTCCCAAAATTTTTGACAATATGCCAAATTTGTCCTAAACTTTTCGATCGTGCCAATTTAATCCTAAACATTTTGACGATTGGATCGACAAACATGCTAGAGAGAGAGAGAG